AGGGGCATTTTAAGAATTTAAAGACTGTTTTAGAAGGGATTCTTCTAGTAGGCATTTGAGCTTCGTAATGGATTAATCTTGAGAGCCATAATTAAGATGTTAATTAGTAGCCAAAGAGTGTGCTGTTCTTAAGATACTTCACATGAGCATATTGAATTGGACTTTGGAAGTGAAAAATCAGCCACCTTTTGCTTTCACCACAATGAAGAAACTGGGATAGCTTCTTTGGGAAACTATCATTTGCTAGTATGTTTGCTACAGTTGTTTCCTTTGAATTGCCTTGTAGGTTGTTGCAACCAGCTACAGTACTGAAAGTGGGCAGTTCTGCACCTTTAATCTGTAGTAGAACGAAGACACTAGTATATTCTGCTTCTCTGTCAGAAAACTAAATGTTTCTGCAGGAAAATAGTGATGATGACTGACGTAGATCTTAAGTACACCATTTTCATACTTCTTATGATTCAGTTAAAGATCTTTCTTGGAGCCAATGAAAAATCGACAATTGCATTTATTATCCCTTTTAAGGAAATATCAAACTCATTTTAGTATGAATGTTTTGTTTCAAGGACTGTGCAAGTACTGTGTTATCATAGAATGGTTTAGGTTGGAAGGGACCTTAAAGATCACCTAGTTCCAACCCCCCTGCCATGGGCAGGAACACTTCCCTCTAGATTAGGTTGCTCAAAGCCCCATCCAGCCTGGTCTTGAACACCTCCAGGGATGGGGCGTCGACAACTTCTCTGGGCAACCTGTTCCAGTGCTTCACCACCCTCATAGTGAAAAATTTCTTTCTGATATCTAATCTAAATCTACCCTCTTCTGTTTTGAAGCCATTACCCCTTGTCCTATCACTACATGCCCTTGTAAAAAGTCCCTCTCCAGCTTTCCTGTAGGACCTCTTCAGATACTGGAAAGTTACTATAAGGTCTCCCGGGGTTCTTCTCTTTTCCAGGCTGAATAACCCCAACTCTCTCAGACTGTCTTCATAGGAGAGGTGCTCCAGCCCTTTGATTATCTTTGTGGCCTTCCCCTGGAGCTGCTCCAACAGGTCCATGTCCTTCTTGTGCTGAGGACTCTAAAGCTGGATGCAGTACTCCAGGTTGGGTCTCACTAGAGCAGAGTAGAGGGGCAGAATTACCTCCCTCGACCTGCTGGCCGTGCTGCTTTTGATGCAGCCCAGGATGTGGTTGGATTTCTGGGCTGCAAGCAGCATTGCTGGCTCATGTTGGGCTTCTCATCAACCAGCACCCCCAAGTCCTTCTCCTCAGGGCTGCTCTCAATCCTTTCTCCACCCAGCCTGTATTTGTGGTTGGGATTGCCCTGACCAATGTGCAGGGCCTTGCACTTGGCCTGCTTCAACTTCATGAAATTGGCATAGCCCACTTCTGAAGCCTGTCAAGGTCCCTCTGCATGGCATCCCTCCCCTTCTTCACGTCAACCACTCCACGCTGCTTAGTGTTGTTGGCAAACTTGCTGAGGGTGCACTCAATCCCACTGTCCATGTCACCAACAAACATGTTAAACAGCACCAGCCCCAGTACTGACCCCTGAGGAATCTCACTTGTCACTGGTTTCCACTTGGACATTGATCTTTTGACCGCAACTCTTGGATTGCAACCATCCAGCCAGTTCCTTATCCACCGAGTAGTCTATCCAACAAAGCTATGTCTCTCCAATTTAGAGACCAGGATGCCATGCAGGATGGTGTGAAATGCTTTGCATAAGTCCAGGTAGATGATGTCTGTTGCTCTCGCCTTATCCACCAATGCTGTAACCTTGTCATAGTAGGTCACCAAATTTGTCAGGCATGACTGTCACTTATCACTTCCTTGTTTTTCCATGTGCCTTAGTATAGTTTCCAGGAGGATCTGCTGCACGATCTTGCCAGGCTCAGAGGTGAGACTGACTGGCCTGTAGTTCCCTGGGTCTTCCCTTAGACCCTTTTTGAAAATGGGTGTTATATTCTGCCTTTTCCAGTCAGTGAGAACTTCACCAGACTGCCACGACTTCTCAGATATGCTGAGTAGTGGCTTAGCAACTTCATCTGCCAGTTGCCTCAGGACCTGTGGATGGATTTCATCAGGTCCCATGGACTTGTATGCCTTCAGGTTCCTTACATGGTCTTGTACTTGATCTTCACCTACAGTGGGCGGTTCTTCATTCTCACAGTCCCTGCCTTTGCCTTCTGCGACTTGGGTGGTGTGGTTAGAGCCCTTGCTGGTGAAGACCGAGGCAAAAAAGTCATTGCGTACCTCACCCTTTTCCATATCCCAGGTCACCAGGTCTCCTGTTTCCTTCTGGAGAGGGCCCGCATCTTCCCTAGTCTTCCTTTTATCACTGACATAGCTACACAAGTTTTTCTTGTTGCCCTTGATGTCCCTGGCCAGATTTAATTCTATCTGGGCTTTAGCTTGCCTAACCTGGTCTCTGGCTGCTTGGACAGTTTCTTTGGATTCCTCCCAGGCTACCTGTCCCTGCTTTCACCCTCTGTAGGCCTCCTTTTTGCTTTTGAGTGTGTCCTGGAGCTCCTTGCTCATCCACGCAGGCCTTCTGGCTTTTTTGCGTGTCGTCGTCTTTGTTGGGATACGTCACTGCTGAGCTTGGAGGAGGTGATCATTGAATACTAACCAGCTTCCTTGGGCCCTTCTCCCCTCCAGTGTTTTATCCCACAGGACCCTACCAAGCAGATCCCTGAAGAGGCCAGAGTCTGTTGTCCTGAATTCCAGGGTAGTAATTCCAGGGTAGTAAGCTTGTGGCGCACCTTCCTCACTGCCCTTAGGATCTTGAACTCCACCATTTCATGATCACTGCAGCCAGGGCTACCCTTGAGTTGACATTACCTATTAGCCCCTCCTTGTTGGTAAGGACAAGGTCCACCATAGCTCCTCTCCTTGTTGGCTCGTCTACCACTCGGAGAAGGAAGTTGTTATCGATGCATTCTAAGAACTTCCTGGATTGCTTGTGCCCTGCTGTGTTGTCCCTCCAACAGATACTGGGGTGATCGAAGTGCCCCATGAGGACCAGGGCCTGTGAACATGAGCCTGTTTATAGGGGGCCTCATCCACTGTGTCATCCTAGTCAGATGGCCTGTAGCAGACCTCCACTGTAACGTCACCTGTCCCAGCCCCCCCTTTAATCCTGACCCATAAACTCTCAGTCGGCTCTTCATCCATCCCCAGGTGGAGGGATTAGCCTGTGCTCAGTCCATTTGGGAAAGTCCTGCATCTTGTGGACCATCCTTAAAGTATTGGTTTAAAAAAAAAAAAAGTTGTTTTTCCTCTGGGGGACATACTTGTCCATTTTCTCTCATTCATACTGATAGTGTCTGCCTTGGAAAGGTGGAAACAACCAAAGGCATCTTTTTAATAAGGAGAACTATAATCTCTTGAGTAGATATACTCAGGGTAGAATCCTATGGAGAAGTTTTCTGTGGCCTAAGTTCTTGGCTTCTGTGCAGTTTCCTGTTGCCTTTCTCTTCTAATGGAGATGAGCTGGTAAACTTCTAGCTTTATTTAGGCTTCCATGGGAGATTTTTTTGTTTGTTGAACCATAGAGAGAACAGTTCTTCTTTTGAAAGCTCATCTAGCTACAAAGACCAGGGTTGCACTTGCACAGCTTCCCCAAGGAAAGGCAGTTAGCAATGGAAGATCTCTTCTTAATTTTTGGCACCAACAGAAGCTTTTTGAAATGGTGCTGGCGGGGAACAAAGTAGTTCCCTTCCTATAGTCCTGTTTCATTTGAGTGATGAACAAACTCGGGGGGGCTAGTCATTACAGAACTGTCATGACAGCTGCTATATTAATCTTTGAATCAAGGAAGAGGATGCAGTAACTCAAGGTTACAACATTTAACTTAATATTTTACTTCCTGCCCACCTCTTTTCTGTTATCTTCTAGAAACTGCTCTTAGTAGATCCTGCTTTGGCAGAAACAGATACGTTGTCCTGATCTAGTCATTGGTTGCAGAGCAGAGATCCAATAGCCGTTGCTGTTAAACACTGGAGAATAACGAAGCCTGGAAACATGTTTTGAGACTTGAATGTTAGTTCTGTTTGAAACTTTAAATTTGGGATTATATTCTTGGCAGTAATTTTTTCACTTCAGGGTAGGGATTGGTTTGCAGCTCTAGACATGCAGAATGTTTACTTCAGCATCTCAGTATGTTATTTCATCAGCAGTGTCTGTTTCATTCTAGGTCAGATCCATTCCTTGTTCAGATTTTTCCATTTAACATCCATATGATGCTAAAGAAGGTACTCCACACCTGGCAAATTCAAGAAAATTGAGTGAGAAGTTCCTTCTAGAGTAATTCTTTGTTATGGACAAGGCCCCTAACAAGGTTTAAATTATTTGGGTTTTTTAATCTCCTTCACTTCTTTGGTCTTGAGTAGGTTCTGCTATTTTTCCTTGTATTGGTTCTGGCAAATGTATTTTTAAAGCAAATCATCTTGCTTACTCATCTGAACAGTTTTAGTTAAATCCTTTCTTTTTTGAGAAGTATTGTGGTATGTATTGTGGTGGTACTTTTCATCTGTCTTTACCAGCATAGCTGGACCCCAGATCACAGCATCATGCAGCTACAGCAAGACATGGGTTGACCTACCGGTAGTGGAGGAAGGGCTGGTCTGCAGCCTATTGCGAGGCTCAACCCACGTGAATCTATGGGCCCCGAACGGAATCCACCTCAGGGTGTTAAGAGAAGTGGTTGACATCGTTGCAAGGCCACTGTCTATAATCTTGGAAAAATTATGGACATCAGGGGATATCCCTGATGACAGGAAGAGGGTAAATGTCACACCCATCTACGAGGGCCCAAAACAGACCCAGGAAACTACAGGCCCATTAGTCTTACTTCAGTCCCTGGGAAAGTAATGGAACAAGTTCTCGTAGAAACTATTACAAAATAAATAAAGCAGGTGATTAAAAGAAAACAACAGAGATTTACCAAAGGCAAGTCATGCTATACTGACCTGATTCCCTTCTACAACAAAATAACATCTTCTGTCAACATGGGGAGAGCAGTGGATGTCATTCACCTGGACTTCAGCAAAGTGTTCAACGCTGGTTCCCAGAGCCTTCTGGACAAACTGGCAGATTGGGTACGTGGTCTGCAACATGGGTAGGAAATTGGCTAACAGGCAGCACTCAGAGGGTGGTAGTCAATTTTTTCTACTCAGACTGGAAGCCTGTCACAAGTGGCGTCCCTCACGGATCAATACTGGGCCCCGCGCTGTTCAACATGTTCATAAGTGATCTGGATGATGGGATTGAAAGCATTCTCATGAAGTTTGCTGATGACACCAGACTGGCTGGTGAGGTGGACATGTCAGATGGGAGAGCCATCTTCAGAGAAACACGGACAGGCTAGAAGAGTGGGCTAGCAAGAACAGTATGATGTTTAACAAAGACAAGTGCAATGTCCTGTACGTGGGACAACATAACTAAAGAGCGCAGTACAGGCTGGGATCTGTGTGGCTGGGGAGCAGCTTTGCTGAACATGAGTCAGCAGTATACTGCTCCACCAAAAAAGGCAAATTGGGTCCTGGGCTGTATCTGCAGGAACTTTACTAGCAGAGATAGACATGTGATCATCACACTCAGCACTTGTCAGGCAGCACCTGTAATACTGTGTCCAGTTCTGGTCCCCACAATGCAAAAAAGATGTGGACAGACTGGAGAGGGTCCAAAGGTGTGCCACAAAGATGATCAAAGGGCTGGAGAACCTGCCCTGTGAGGAAAGACTGAAGTAGTTGGGTCTTTTCTTCCTGGAGACCTCATCATGGTATTCCACTACTAAAAGGGTGGCTGCAAAGAGGACAGAGGCTCTCTTTTTACAAGGAGCCACGTGGAGAAGACATGGGGCAATGGGTAAAAGTTGCACCAAGAAAGGCTTCATCTTGATATGAAAAATTTTTTACAGTAAGAACAATCAATTGCTGGAACAACCTCCCAGGGATGTGGTAGAGTCCCCATCACTGGAGGTTTTCAAGATGTGACTGGACAGGGTGCTAGTTAATCTAATCTAGGATTCCCTTTCCCACAAAAGGTTGGAACAGATGACCTTTCAAAGTCCCTTACAGCCCAGGCTGTTCTATGATTCTGCGATGTGCATGCATTGCAGATAAGAAACCACGCAAATTTTCTAAATACGTGCAGGAAATAAACAGAGTCTGCCATCTTGACCACAAGTCTGTCCTCAGAAATGAACTATTTTCTTTCTCTTAAAATTTATCAAATTATTATTGTTTGCTATTTCTGAAGCATTGACCAAAGCCTTTAGCTTACATTTTTATTTTGAGCTAGTTTTGGATAATAGTCCTTTATGTCGGTGTGTATGTGCCCTGGAGTGAAGGGAAGCCAGCAGTTTAGCTTTATATAAGCTATCAGTTGCTTAACATTAAATAATTTTCTGTATTTCTTAAGGACTGTGATAAAGTAGAAATCTGTGTAAACCTAAGGCTCAGTCTGCAAAAGAAAATACACACACACACACACACACACACACACACACAAAAAACACCCTGGCCCAAAAAAGAGGAAATTGGATTTGTTTATCTTTTAAGTGATCACTAATATTATCTATTATGTTGCAAAACTGTTAGAAGGATTTTTTGAGCTTTAAGCTGACCAACTGGACAAATTCGCTGATGACATAATCATATTATTGAAGAATAGTGGAATTAAATTCTTCAAATGTTTTCCTTAGAAGTATTCTAATAGTAAGAGTCTATTTTAGTGGATTACTTTTTTAAAAGTACTGTAGAATCAGAGTTCAGCTTAAATACTTCAATGCTGGCTTTAAAATAATCAAAATTTGAGTACAGCTTGAAAAGCTTCTCTTCCAGACCTGTGGATGTCTGAAGCATGCTACTGAATAAGGTTAAATGAAACACGAGGGGAAAATGGCCAAAACTGATACATTTTCTTACTGAAATGACCAATGAAACCTGGAGGATAATTATGCTTGTGAAATACAAGGTATCTTTATAGGTGTGACATTACTTGTCTTCCAATGTTCTTTTACAACAATGTAGCTAAGTACCAGAAACACTTTAGAACTCCATTTAATTAAAAAAAAAAAAAGGCAAAAGAAGCAATTTTACATATTTAGCTGAATTTCTGTGGTAGTTAAACCCACAGAGTGAAATTGACCTAATGAAATTAAGTGAAGAAAAACAGAAATAAGAAACGGTCCTGAGGATTTTTCCTCATGCTAGCCGATTCACCGTTAAACCTAGAAGTACCTTTCATGGCACCTGTTCTCAGAGGATTTTAGGTAATTCATTTGGATATTAAATATGAACTTTCTTACAGTATTCAAAAGCGGCAAATAATTCCAAAGAGTTGGAAGACTGTGAGCAAGCTAACAAACTGGGAGCTGTTAACAGTACCTTAAGGTATGCTGTGATTTACAGTAGTACAAAAATAGTAATAAAGGAGCATTTCGTCTGTCTTGTTTTTGCAATGTGTTGTTTGTTGTTCTCCATTCTTTCCATAGCCCATTAGAAAGTAAATGTGAAATGATGCAGTAAAATCTGAAGGTAAAAGTGTTAATCGATAAGTAGACTTTTTTTTTTTTAAAGTACACTTTGATATGATTTGAAAGAAGTATCTTACAGCATCAAGAGTCAGAGGAAACTTGCAAATAAACTCACCTTTTTTCTACTTTTTACCAGTATCAGTCTTTGTTCTTCCTGACTGTGCTGGATTAAGGCATTCTGTCCTGGTCTGTCAATCTGTTACACTGATTTGCCTGTTTGTGATCATTCAGTGAACCAGATCAGGGAGCTTGCAAGTTACTTTTGTTGTTGGCAAAGTTATTTTTAGCTTGGATCAATTCCCTGATCTTGCTTATTGCATGGTACAGTCAAGGTTGCGTGGGAGGAATTAGGAATTCTGCAGGATGGTGTTGCCCCTGAGTAGGAAAGTGTGTGAATACCACTTAGAAAGACTTGCATTCTACCAGATTCCCCACCTTTAAAAATTAGAACTGGAAAAATCAGTTCTTCACTGTTGATGGAGAAGTGTGGTGTCTTTAGCCATAGATTTCAGCAGTTCTACATGGTAGAGATGTTGAAACTTTTTCCTGTCGTCTGACAAAATGGAACTGCCATGAAAAAGTGACTACTTCTGCCTGGTGTGTGTTGTTTTAAACCCAACTGGGTAGAGCCCTTATCCAAGCTTTTTTTTTAGGGAAAATAAGAAACTATTAACTCTCTTTCATTCCTATAGGACAAAAAAATATGAGATTGAGTACACATACAGAGAGGTAAAGTGAATGCCTTTTGTGAGAGTAGGATAGATGATTAAAGTTGGGAGAGGGCAGGTAATGGATCCTGCAAGTGGCAGCAAGAGTTTGTCCTTTGCAGGCAAACCTCCATGTTCTCTAATTGGCAGTGCATCATCCCTGTGGTTTTGGGTTATTTTCCTTTATCAACTGCATTTCTTGTGATTATCAAATCTTGCCTGCTGGTAATTACTGGAGGAGTTCCTTGTCTAAGGCCAACTATAGAGTCTCCTACAGTGTTTTGGCAGAAGATTAGAAATGTATCTTATTGTAGAATTGCCTCTGTTTGTAGAATTGAGCTAGTACTAATTTGGTCAAATGGGATAGATTGTTTTTGTTATTTCAAGGTGCTTCACTGCACCCTGGAGCAGTTCCCAATCTGAACTTTGCTTATGTTTTGCTGTCAGTAGTGTGGCATCAGTAGTTCTGTGCTGCACATATGCACGGAAGAAAGCATTCAGCTTTTGGCACTGTTTGTGCCACTGCTTTGGGAGCTTCAAAGTACTTGTCTCTGGTACAGTACACCTTTGAAAATGCTAGGGTGAGTGGAATACCATTATTATTTAAAAATCTTAAGACAAATCATATTAATAGGGTAATTTAGGTTGGAAGAGGCGTTTAGTTGTCCAGTCTCCCATTAACAAGCAAGGCTAACTATTGTAGATTTTGTTGAGAGTACAGGTTAAGAAAATATGCAGATTCTGCACCCCCCACCCAAGTGACAGCTACTAAAATAGTAGTTTGAGAAGTGTTTAAAAATGTATGCTATGAAAGTATTTTACTAAGCTCTTTCTGAAGAAGGAGAAGTCACTGCCGGTGCAGAGTTTGTTCAAATAATGATAGTGAAATCTTTCTTGCTGTCTGACATTAAAATGACTTTTTAAAGTATTGCAGTTGATGCCTGCTTGAATCTTTGTGCCGCTAATAAGCAGCAACTGCATATATTCTCGAGTGTCAGATATATGAATTCACAATTCAGTTCTAAGTTAACTACTATATGTGGCTTGTGTTTCTTTCGGTAGCTCTTATTGATGTTGTTTATTTAAAAGTTTAAAATCAAATGTATTTTCTTCCCCTCAGTAACCAAAGTAAGGAGGCTTTCATTGACTGGGCAAGATACGATGATTCACAGGATCATTTTTGTGAACTTGATGGTAAAATGTTTAAGCTTTTTCAGAGTGTTTGTTTTATTTGCTGTCTCTTATAAACCACAAAAGATTATAGTTTCTCTGCAAATAACAATTTTTAGAAAGTTTTATTTTTGTGCTGCATGGGAATGTGACAGTTCATATCATCTTACGTGCAAAGAATTAAATTTTTTACAAGGAGCTTTTGGTAGTTTACACAGTGCATGTTCACTGGTCCCCCCTGTTAGTGTGGGGGACAGGAGACATTTATGGAAATAAAAAAGAAGGTAAATGGGAGGAGTTTAGCATATATTTTTTAAAAAAGCTTCTTCTCACAAGAATTGCATCTAGCACAAATATTAGCCAAATTACTTGCACCTGAGTCAGTTTCTTACTACTATGTTATTTTAGTTGCTATTCCACTGCCTATGCTTGGGCTGAGTTTGTTTCTCTTCCAGCCTTGCTATGTTTCCAAATGATCTGTGCATTAAATTCACCCTTATTTGTAAAGACTTTCTTATTGTAAAACATTGGGATACTAGGTGTCTCCCTCTGCTCCGCATATATGAGTCCTTTTATTTGCTTGTAACATTCAAAGCTCAAAGGAATGTTTTTCAGATAACCATAAGAATTGCCAAGTTCAGGAATGACTGCTAAAGGCCTTTTTAATAAATACCTTAGAAAGTGTTCTATGCTAGGAAGACTTAGGGTATAATGCAAGATGTTTTAATCTACCTTTAGGCTAATGTTTGGTGTTGCCTGAGAAAGTAGCAGCTGTAGTGGGTGTACCAACAGCGGTTCTCTTTCAGCACTTCTGCTGTGTCTTATCTGAAAATTTTCTGTATAAGCTGTGTCTGTAATAAATAGTCAAAGAGCATAACTGTAGATCTGAACTGTTAAATGCAGTAAGCTGCTGTTGTCTCTTCTATCTTCAAGCTGCCTACTTACTTAAGAGGACTCAGTTGGGAAAGGTATAGTTTAGGAGCATTTAGAAGCAATACTAACTTAAGTAGTTCCTGATTCTACCTCCACCTCTCCATGCATCATGCGCTGCTGAAGGAGGGTTTGCTGCCCCCAGCTGTGTTCTTCCAGTGCTTTTTTTTTCTCTGGTATGCATCTTTCTGCGTGGTAAGCTGATTCAGCTTACTTGAATAGCAGGAAAGTAAGTTGACATCTCCTTCCCATCTCCCATATTGCTGGGCTGAACTGGCTTATCAGGTGAGTTTGTGAGCTGGAGCAGGGAGAGGTGAGAGGTATAATTTTACTTGGGGGAGGTAGAAACTCTTGATCTCTTCCTCTCCTTTTCCTGGTGGCAAGAGAGCTTTTAATTCACTCAATTGTAGCACAAAGCCATATAATCAGTTTTACTTTTCACTAGCTTTTTGTTGAGCTTAATGATAAACTAGATAAGGGAATTGATCTAGCTGAAAAAAACTTCATAACCCGGGTCAGTTTTCTGTACTTCTGTTGCACTGCCCCACAGACTCAGTTGTGTGTGGATAACGAGAAGAAAAAGTGGAGACATGAAGTGACCAGGAAGTGTAGGAACTGCTTAGGTTAGCCGTGCTGTCAAAGAAAGAAAGCAAGCTGTAATTTGACTTTGTCCCATCTGGCGCCCACTGTGTTGTGTGTCTTGTGTCTGTCTCTTTTCTCTGTTTTTGCTACTACTGCTGAAGCGATGCTTAACTGCTCATGCAGAATCATCTCTTCTTTTTAGAGCAGTTTTCACCCTCTGTTTCTGTGGCTTTTTTCGACATCGGAGGAAACACTTGGTAGCACTGCTTGGCCTATTCCTATGAATAAGTTTCTGGACTACTGGCTTGTATTGTATGCGGGTTTTCTTAAGCAAGAGTTGCTTTTAACCTAGAATTACAAAGAAGAGGGAATTCCTGCTTTTTACTGGTTGGAGCTCAAAACTAAAGTTTCTATTCGTACAGAGTTTTCAGCCAGAGAGAATACTGTTTCGCAATTTTCTTTGGGTATGTTGCCTGAATTGGTAGTGAATTTTAGGGATGAGAGTATAACTTGTCGAAATGCTGCTTAAATAACATGTTTCTTACCATAACCAGCAGAGCATTTTGCAATATGCTGAAAGCTTGTTCAGTTAAGCAATGTGATCCAGACTTTCTGCTAGTATACAAGGGTATCTGGGGAAAAAAGTGATTTAGCTAATAAATATACAATATGTACCAACTACAAGATGCACTTCTTTGACCTTGTCTTTATTAAGAAGCCCCTGTAGCAGTATACCTGTTTCCAAAAAGCAACCCCCTGAACCAAATACTGCCGGACAAAGAAACCTGAATTTGAAGCCCATTTACAACAAAACACTGTTTATATCTTAGCACAGGGTGAGAGAACACATTGCATGAGAAGTGTTTATGGTGGAGTTGAAGCCACACAGAGCGTGTTCAGACACTGTAGAAATGATGGCCACACAAGAGACTTTGAAATATATTATATACTTTTGAGCTTTCTATTTAGTGTGTCTATTGCTGTATTTTTACACACAAGGCATTTCTAATCCAACTGGAAGACAGAATAGTATCATATGAGACCTCATTTATATTTAATTTTGTGTGACTCTTTTTTAAAAATTGAATCTTTTTTAAATGACCAATTAGAATATGTAACAAAAGGTTTCCTGTTTAGATGAGAGATCTCCAGATGCGCAGTATGTGGATTTGTTGCTGAATCCAGAACGTTACACTGGATACAAGGGGCCTTCTGCTTGGAGAGTATGGAACAGCATCTATGAAGAAAACTGCTTCAAGTAATTGGGAGGGAGAGGAAGCCTATTTCTTACACCTGCGCTTCAATTTAGCTTAAAACTGATTTCTGTTTTTTCTAACTTATTTTCTAGGCCTCGATCTGTCTATCGTCCTTTAAATCCATTGGCGCCTAGTAGGGGTGGGTCTTGCCTGTTTTATTTTCTATGCAGTTCTTTTAACATAGTGACTATTGCAGTACAAGTGATACAAATAGTAATTTTCAGTCTCTAGGTTTCCTTTCTGCTTTTTTTAATTTCCTGTGTAGAAGTAGCTGTCCAGTTTCAATATTTAGACTAAGGTTTGTGATACTTGATTACATACATGATTAATCTTATGGATGTGGATAGGCTTATTAATGTCAGGGGAGCTAACGTGAAAACTGAAGTAAATTTCAAACTGTTTAGTAACTATCCCAGTAATTTTCCAGTGTGGATGAGAAGGAATTGAAGTTCAACAAAAATTTCAGCACTCTTGTATTCTTCCCGTGTCTTTTTTTCCTAGAGCATTTAATTTAATCACTTTAGCTCATAGTCATCCTATTGTAACGTAGCTGTACATTTTCCATCCATAATATTTAGTGTATTACAAATGTAAAAATAATGGCATTATTTGAAGAAAGAGTGGATACTTAGGAAGGCTTAGTTATCTGCAAGACTGTTTAAAAAGAAAGTATGCCAATGACTTGAGTTTTAAGTTTTCAATTTAAATTGAAAACTATAACCTGATGCTCCAAATGAATCAGCTTTCCCCTGTCACTGTGTTTCATTTGCCTTAAAAATTAACCATTAGCCAATAGATTGAGTTAGAAAGCACACAACACATTAGAAAATCAAGATAGGTTTTCGCAATTATAAATATTGAGATAATATATTGCTGTTATAGACAAATAGAATTGTAAGAGCAGTTTAACTCAGGGATCAGAATTTCGAAAAGGAGCAATGGTCGGATTGTTGGATAATGAACTGAAGATGATGACTACCTAAACCATCTTTCTGAAGCTAAAATATAGCTTTCAAGAATATGTAAATCAGCTGCTTCTAAGATTTCAAATTCTTAGTGACTTTCATTATTGTACTGTGTTTAGTCGTAGGTAGTCTTGAGGAAGAGGAAGAGGATGAAAAGTAGCCTATTTTTTTTGTAGATTAAACAAGGGGTTTTGTACTTTTTCAGTGTTTGTAGTAAAGCCTGTGTTTCATTACTGTTTTGATGTGGAAATTATCTTTTTAATGCTTATGGATATTTTTTTTTTCCCCCTAAGGAGGAGATGATGGTAAGTCATCTTATTTTGCTCAATCTGCAGAAATGAAGCAAGCATTAAAGTTTTGGATATCTGATTTATTTACTTTATTGCTATTGCATTAGAAGGCAGGAAAGTTATGTTTTTATGTAGATGATTGATCAGAAAATGTTTTTATTGGGATAACTTTTCATTCGGATTAGGGGGAAGGAGTGCATAAGAGCAAAATACAGTTCTGTTGTTGGTTCTTGTCCTTGTAACAGAATATGTGTTGTGATAATGTTATTGGTGAGATAACTGGAGATGCATAAACTAAGATTTTTGGGTCTCCTCCAGAGCCCCATTGATACTGATGTCAGATCCCTTAAAAGAAGAGTGATGGGTTTTCTTGTGTACTTTCTTGAATGTCATTCTTGATTTTGGGAAGGTGGGGAGAAAAAACATTTGGTCTGTCTACAGTGAGACAGACTTTAAGATTTTTCAGTCAACTGAAAGCTCTCAGGCAAAAGATTGAAGCTTACAGGAAACATTCAGACAGTTAGCAGTCAAGGTAAAGGCTATCAGATAGTTTTCACCACTAGTGCATATAATCAGGCTTGCGCTTCCATACACTTCTGAATGCCCTGACTGGTAGCTTAGTCATGCTCATTCTTGTCTTTCTCCTCTTCTGACCCCATCACATTTAAACTAACCTCAAAGCTCAGCCACTTCAGTACCTATTCTCACTTTAATAACTAAATTATTTAGCTTTATGTCCAAATGGCAGCTAATGTTAATATGCATAGTAATAGAAAGATACTGTAATATTGAAAATGAATACTCTTCATTTAACTATTTACTTTTTATTTACAGGAGAATCTTTCTACACATGGCTAGAAGGTAACGTGTCTTGGATGGGTTAATATAATATTAAATTCACTAGAAGAAACATTAGTATTTTTTTCCTCTCCCCAAATATTTTTCATAGTGTAGGTTTTTTAATAAATTGTGTGGAACTTCTGAGTATCATTCAAAGAGTATTTTTTTCCTCGATGTCTTTGGAAATCTCATTCACTTACATGGTGTACTCCTTAAACCCTTCACTGTTTCATCTTTTGTAAAGGGGGAGTTCATGTCTTAGTACGTATTAGTACAGTGGTAGCAATCAAAATTGCATTTTGAAGGTGTGGAAAAACGTACTTAAATGTACTTAATTTTAAACTTAGCTCATCCTGTCTTTCAGAAGTCTTTACTTGTTGTCCTGGTTTGAAATCTCTAACTGGTGCTATTATAGGAAAGCATACAAATTTACATGCTTTTTAAAATGTGATGTCTGTGAATAACACTGTATCGCAGCCTCACAGATAGGCTTCACCATCAGCTCTTCCTGCTTCTGTTTGTGGAGACTGGAGTGGCAGGGAAGTCACACAAACACATCTTTGAGAAGGGAACAAACTCCTAAGTTCCAAGTGTATCCTCTGTCTCTGGGTGTAAGTGGTATCATAAGCAATTTCTGCATTTAAATTATATTTTGGCCACTCAATGCCATTACGTTTCTTTTTGTGCTGTAAAAGTTTGTATCCATAAAACCGTATTTTTCAAGGTTTTACTCTATGCATTGAAATCTTCAATGAATTTACAGTAAAGCTGGGAAGAAATATTTTTGCTGTATTCCAATGCCATAAGGTTTTCTGTTGGTTTTTTTTTTTTTTAATGTTTTTCTGTAAGGTCACTACTCTAACTCAGTGGTAACTTTAATTCTAATTAGGATGGGTCACAGTGTAGTTCTGGTTTCCAGACTGTCAAAATTCAAGACTATTACAAATTCATTGCTCAAACAATGTAAGCGTCTTATTTTTGTGTGGTAATTTATCTGTACTAATTGACCAGATACTTATTTGACTGTATTTATTAGAACACTAAATTACTAAGTAAGAAATGTGAAACTTCATTCTACTAAGAATGAAGTTTCTACTACTACTTCTTTATATTAAAAATAAGAGGTAAATTTTTCCTATGATGGATATAAGGGCTTATTAACAATGCTGAAGTACTGTAATTGTAACTCTTGAAAGTTAAATGATGCAGATTTGCATCACTGAAATGTCAACGTATATTCATTTAAAGACGTTATTTCCAGTATTTAGCTTGGAGTTTGTTTGTCTTTTTTCCTGGACAGGTCTTTGCCTTGAGAAAAGAGTGTTTTATAAACTCATTTCTGGACTTCATGCTAGCATCAACTTGCATCTGTGTGCAAATTATCTTCTTGAAGGTAATTAAAGTCTAGGTAAAATTGCTGAATGGAATTCTACAATATCTGTAACATGTATTTAGATTTTTTCTGAAAAATTTTGATGCATACTTAGTTACTTTCTTTTTCTAAATAGGCATTTTTTGTTTCCTCTGCCCTTTTTTGCCTCTGTGTAGAAACGTGGGGGAAGCCTCGCTGGGGACCGAATGTGAAAGAGTTCACTCGTCGCTTTGACCCTGTTGAAACAAAAGGAGAAGGACCAAGGAGGCTCAAAAATTTATATTTCTTATATTTGATAGAGCTGCGTGCTTTGTCAAAGGTTGCGCCATACTTTGAGCGTTCAGTTGTTGACCTTTACACTGGAAATGGCCATGAGGATGCTGAATCTAAAGCTCTTTTACTAGATATCTTCAGGGATACAAAGTAAGGCATAAGATTTCTTTTTATCAATAGTTTGAAATTCTCAGTTATATTCACAAGTGAGAATAGATGACTTCTTGATAGGATAGGACAAGCAGGAGAGTGGAATGAGGAAATGAAAATAAGTAATAGAAGACAACAAGAGGAATTTGTACATTTGATTGGAAGAGATTAATATTTTTGAGGTTTGAATATACCAATCGAAAAAAAAAACCCAACAAAAACAAAAATCCAATCAAACAAACAAAATAAAACAAAAACCACACGACATCCTGGCCTACTCTGCATTTATTGCTTTTTCTAATTCTTCAGTGTAATATCCACATGATTTATTTTTAAAAGGAAAATAGTACATGTAGTCTTTCGTGATCTAGTGAGTAATCCAGCTTTTATCATAGAGTTAAGATCTGGGGTTTTAGCCATCCCTTCTTCCTTCTGTTTGCTCTGTAAGGTTATTTAATCCACTTCCTTTGCTCACTTCTTGCTAATTTTTGTGATTGGTAGTGTGCTGTGTGGCTTCATTGCTGTCCCTAATCATAATCTTGCTGGGTATTTGAGATGTGGTCAGGCAATGATCAACTGAAGGGCAAACATTAAGACAATTTCAGTGTGTATTAGAAAGAAATCATGATCAGTGGAAATGGAGTGACGAGAATTCTCAACAAAACTGTAAATAACAGATTTCAGGTTAGAGTGATTGAATAGTAAAACTGGTACCATTCAGTCAATATTTAAGAGCTATTCTGCAAAGACTAGGGGCTCTGAAAAGTATTTTACACTGATGGCATCAGCTGCTCACCAAGCCTGATGGAATATGGTTGTTTATGCCAGCGTTTTTGGTTTTGTTTTTTTTTTGCATTTTGTCTTTATTAGGTCCTTCCATATGCACTTTGATGAAAAGTCCATGTTTGCTGGAGATAAAAAAGGAGCCAAGTCATTAAAGGTAAAGCTAGTTTTCTGAATGGCATCCAAAATACCCATTTTAGAATTAAGTTGTGTTATTTTAGAAAACTTCTCTACCTACCAGAAGCATACTGCCAAGAGTAGAAAAGGCAGGGTTAAAAACTTACAGAATTGTATCTGAGGCCTCTTACTCTACTTTGTAGTAAATGAATGCAAGGTGTTGTCCTGGCCCAGCAGACTGAAATCTCTGTTTTAGTGCCTTGGGTCTGCCATCAGGACTGTGGTGAGACTAATGAGTTGAATTGGTATTACCGTTAGACCCAGTGGTGTTTTTTAAAGAGTATCTGTTTCACATAAGCATCTGAAAAAAACCCACAACAATCCAGGGACATTTGCTTAAAAAACAGATGCCTTATATAGTGTAATATAATATAGTGTAATATAATGTTATATAGTATTATACTTAGCATTAGAAAAGCATAGTTCCTAAATGTGGGAACCTACTGTGAATGCTGTTATTGCCTAGTCACTTCAGTGTTAACATGCTGGTGTTCAGATTGGTATGCACTACAATTCCACAGTTGGAGTGTGGCTCAGTAGTAAAGGTCTGTTTTAATACTTATTAACGCTTCTAATGCTTATTTCAATAGTAGTATGGAATTTCATCAGCATCAGAGAGAATGCTATTAGAAAGGTGCCAGTAGTTTATCAGCCCAGCTAGTGTTTTTCTGACCTTAAATATTTAATTGAGATCTTCTTAATTAGTTCTGTGCTGTGCTTGCTTCCACTTTGACTGAAGCTGCAAAGCAACAATCTACCCATAGCTTTGGACAGGAAATGTCTTTTGTGAATTGCAACTTGTTTGCCTGTTTGTCAGAAAGGTAAGTTGGTTCAAAAGGGATTTGAATAATAGTAGAAAAATTGGGCAGGGACACAGATACAGTACTTATAGTTCAGAAAATTTTGAGCAAGTTAGTAGAAACTCAGTGTACAGAATCCAAGTGTTACCCTGCACGTCCTGTATTTTGGTGTGTTTTTTTATTTTTTTCGAGGAATTAAATATCAGCAGTGGCTTGGAAACAAAATTCTGAGTTTACGTGGACCATTTGTTGTGGCCTGACTGCGTATGGTAGTGGTTTTGTTTAGTTTTAGTAATAGAGAATTGATATTCTAGTGGTACTAGATTAGTTAACCTTCTGTTTTTGTAAAGCTAAGAAATACTTTAAGTTAATGTTTTTTATTTTGTTTTTAACTAATAGGAAGAATTCAGATTGCATTTCAAGAACATATCCCGCATAATGGATTGTGTTGGATGCGATAAATGCAGGCTGTGGGGCAAACTGCAGGTATATTTTATTTTATGTGTGTGTACGTGGTGGGGAGGGGGCAGGTTAGAAGATAAGCATCCACTTCAGTTTGGCAGGATGCCTCTTACCTTAGCTTTCAGACTTTGTGCACATGGTTGGTCTTTGATATCCTTACCTATGTATTAAAAATTGACATATGTTCGGTTCACAAATGTTGGACAAATTTGTTTAAAAAAATGTTTGTTTTGTTTAGTCTACAGCTATTTAGTTTACTAAAAGGTATAGTTTGTATTCTCTGGAAAAAATGTATTTAGAGCAGATGCTTCATGGCAAAATCTGACTGGCAGTCAATATCTTATCTGTATTCAGTGATCGGGTGAGCTGTGTAGAATCACCTGTGGGAAGCCTTCCTAGGAATACAGCACTTGCTTAATTGTTAGAAAATTCATTGTGAGATTTAGCTTCATAAATTGAGGCATAAGAAAAAGAAGTAACTTAGATTTTCACAATTTATGCAGAAGGCAGCAAATGAATGCAAAGGTGTACAGTAAAGCTGAAAGTTGAAAAGCAGAATTTCAGTTTCAGGACACCTATTATTTTTTCAATTGAGAACAAGTTTTAAAAACTCAAGACTAATGTTAAGTCCAGGTTGAGAATAGTTGTTACTTTGGGGTGCCTACTTTATTATACTGCTGTATAACATTAAGCTTATCAGAGTTCAATTTTCAAATAAATTTATAACATCAAAAATTTGGTGGTCTCTACTGAATTTCCAGAGTTCTGCCTACCCTGTCCTAGTTAATACTTCTGATCTATTACTGTTTTTCCCTTCTCACACAAAACGAAATAGGGCCAGATTTCTTGACCTAGAAAATTCTCTTGCAGCCAGCCTCAACCACTTTTTGTCAAAATCCGATGCCCGATTAAAAGGGGCAATAAGAATAGCTTCTTCTATTTTCTATACAGAAATAGAACAGGACTCGAAATTGAAACTGCAATGTCTGCCACTAGCACTGGAGGTGGAAAAAGCAGAAGCATTGTGATACCTCATAATAAAATCTAGTTTGACTTGGAAGGGGGAGGGGAGAAGAAAAGGGGAGATCTGATCCAACAGCTCCTGCAGCAGTGGGGCATCTGTCAGGTAAAAGGCAAGAGGGAGCTGCAAGTGTTGTAACAGGCATATTTACATATGCATCTGCTGTGGCTGAGAAGAAAAGAGATGGGAATTGAAGGAGTGATCTTATTGATGTTAAAACGTTGGACTTTTCTTGTAGACTCAAGGCTTAGGAACTGCTCTGAAGATCTTGTTTTCTGAGAAAGAAATACAGAGCCTTCCTGAGAATAGCCCATCAAAAGGTTTTCAACTCACACGTCAAGAAATAGTTGCTCTTGTAAATGCCTTTGGAAGGTAAGTTTTGATAATTTGTATAGTAGAAACACAGAAACTTCAGTGTCAACATTCAAGGTCTGTGGAAAGATCATATGAAGCTGTAGCTTTTAAAGGCTGTATTATTATTAGTAGTAGTGATATTGATAAACTTAGTGCCACCAAACCGAGTATGTGGAGTGCTGATTATTAGCGTGGGTCATCATTGTGTCTTGGGATCCAATTCATTTCTTTATCTCAAATCACATAAATTGCATCTTGTGAAAGATGGATTTAAGTCTCAAGCATTAGACTTTGGGTATATCTCCTCAGTTTTGGACACTGAGTAGAGCTGTTCTACGCTTTTTTTATTTCTGTTTTAAATGCGTGTACGACAAAAGTAGCGAAAAGGAAGAAAAACACTTAAGAGATTTTTTAATGCCGTCATTTAGCCCGTAGGCTTTTGTATTTTTGTGTATGATATGATTATTTATGTTAATATTTTAACTTTGTTTAATTTTTTGAAAACAGAAAAAAATTTACCCCATTTAAGTGATGAAATAAAATATTTCAACAGCTTTAAAAGATGTGCAGAACTTGCTTTGTTCATTATGCTAGTTCTTCAGATCTTGAATGTAAGAATGTAATTAATGTTTATTACCTCTGGTTAGCTATTTTTATAGATGTTTAATGAAGTCAGGAATTTTAACATATATCTTAACTTTAATCCCTTTAATCCATATATTATGTAAATGTAATGGAGAGTCAGATAGTAGATCTTTTGAGGGAAAGTAGTATCTTTGTTAATCTTTGGCACAGAATTGTGTTCAAAAAAAAGCAAACAAACAGTCCCCATGGAAGATGATGATTTGCACTTCTCTTTTGCAGTTGACATACTAACAGTTAAGGGTTTTTTGTTTTACAGGCTTTCCACAAGTATAAGAGAGTTGCAGAATTTTAAAGTTTTATTACAACAAACTAGGTAATGAAGGCCTTTGCACAACCCATTAGTGAAGACCATTTACATGACTGCATTGAGCAGAAGGAACTGATCCTTACAGGACTCACATGAACTGATAAAAAGTAAAATCAAATACCAACTTGAATATTTATGTTTAAACTAGGAATGGTTATTAATTAGAGAAGATATTTATGAATGAAATATATAGTTTTTAAATGTGTAAATTATGCTGATCTGTTTATTTTTTAAGTTCTCTGCTCACAGTTCTGTTGTATTGAAACTTCATAAATTTTCTTTATTTCCTTGTCCTTTTGCGACAAGGAGTTGTTTTATATGAAAACATACGTACCTCTACCCTGACTTGGCCTGTCCTGAGAGAGGTGGTTCACCTCTTGCCTCTCCCCAGTACTGAACTTTGGTATATTCTGAGGACCAGGTATGCTGATTCTGGCTGTCTAAAAGGAGAGAGGAAAAGAAAAAAAAACAACAAAGCAAAACAGAAAAAAAAACCCAACCAGAAAAGGAAACAAGGCTTTTGTTGAGTTCTGACTTCTCACTGTAAGAATGAAACTTGCTTAAAAATAGGAAATTTACTGAGCAGAACATTTTCTTTGATACCAAGCTCCTTTGCATCTTGCTGATACCAACATTTTTTTTCCTTATGCACTGCTTTTCAGAAGTTTCTTTTTTTCTTTAAAATAACTACCTTGTCTCTGATGCAGCACAGTTGGAAGTGATTTTTCTGCAGCCCTTTGGCTACCTGCATTTGCTTGAAGGTGGGGGTAAGGGCAGGGGGAGATGGTTAGTGGAGTGCTGCTAGCTAAAAAGCCTCCGTCAATCAAATTCGTATTTTTTTTTCTAGATTGTAATCACAAGTTCAGTTTCCAGAAATTCTTTTTAATGTCTAACATGTTAAAATAGCACATTTCAATCTTTGAGCTGTGGAAATAGATTTGCTCTTTATGGGTTATGTTTTAGTGCTACGCTAAAAGGTCAGTGCAAAAAAAATAAGAACTTGTTTTTGTAGTCACTTTTAAAAAAGGATGCTTTTTAAAATTATAATCATACTGACATTTAATACTGCATACTCTATCTATGCAATCCCTAACTATATCTTCATTAAAAGGATAGTCAGTGCTAATAAAACGGGTATGTTAATAATGTAACTTTCATAAAATAAGAAATTACTTGTGTATCATTGTCTGCAAATGTCAATGATAACTTACCATTGTCCAAAACAGAATTCAGAAACAGCACTACCAATTAGTAGCAACCAAATATTGGTTTAAATTTAAAATGAAGTAATAATTTTTTTTTTAAACCGGCATGTTTTGAAGTGAAGTTAGGCATTATGAATGTAGGAAGTGCTGGTACAGTGTAGATACATCTCTTGTTTTTAAAAACAAGTCTTCAAAAAATAAAGTGCTCTTAAACATTTTTCACCCAACCAGATATTTAGTGACCTGTTTATATAATTGATTGTAATTGTATTGGCTTCCATAATATGGTCCTTTACAGCTGAGATTTTCTGAAAGCTGGAATACGCTCTATGTCCTTTGTTTCCAGACTAGCCTCAAATTTCTACCTGACTGGAGATGAGATAGACTGTCCTGCTGATACTTGCTATTACAAAAAATACTGTTTCTCAAGAAAGTAAACCCTCTTGAGTCAAACTGGGATAAGCTAAAGGAAAGGAGGGGGAAAACCAACCCCAACCAGAGGTAAAAAAACCCACCCCACCAAAACTTTGGTGATAGTTGCATAAATTGGCAATGACCTGGTGTCCAGGCCTAAGTTCCTGTTTAAGCCAGCAGATAATTTAATGCAGAGTTAGAAAAAGGTGATGTCAGTCTGGGGTTGTTATGTTCTGACCCAGCAGCCTCCCTTGCCTGCAGGAACCCTTGCCTGAGCAAGTCACCACAGGCTTCCTTTTTCTAGTTAGTGGAGAAGAGCAGGTGATTTCTCGGTGGATTCACCTGGCCTATTCTGTATGATATACTCTAGGACGCAGCGCTTTGCACCCTAGAGTTTATATTTCTCCATTAAATTGAAGAATTCCTTGCCTTTTGGATTGACCTGCAAGGGCTAGAACCTGTAGGCTCGCTTGTGTGAAGAATGCTGTATAGCTGGGATTTATCTGTATTATAATATATTATAGTGCCTAAATCTTGAGGCAGGATTTTTTATTAAGAAAAAATAATAAAATATAGTGTTGTCTGTGCTGCCCCAGGAAAGACCTGAGTCTCAGAATTGTTTCTTCCCTTTTCCCCTTGCTTTATGGGGAAAGTGAATTGCTTCCAACCTTCTTCTGGGGATGCAACTTGCTATTTTTCTTTCTTTCCACCTGTGCCTGGCTAAAATCTGCGGACACTGAAGCAGCGTCACATACTAGCATCGTGCACTTGCGTGGGGGACAGGTGAGAGATTCAGGCACGCAGATCCTGGACACCTTCTCCTTGCAGCCCTCATTGGCACAGTGCAGGCAAGTTTAACACCATCGGGTAAGGACATAGAGAGACGGGAAGCTTTTCTTCTTTTCTTTTGTGTCATGAAAACACAGGAATGCAACTGAACAGCACATTCTGTGCACGGGGAAGTTCTGTCGCATTTGAAGGTGCATCTCGCTTGGTGGTCAAATATGGAAGGCATTTCACTTCACTATCATTGTACAAATAGGACATAAGGTTTTGCCTGTTACAAATCTAGTTGAAACAATTTTCCTGTCACCATCTTTTTTACTGTATTTGATGTATATTCTGTGACTATGCTGCCTATGAAGTTTTGCCATGTGAGCTGGACAACTTAGTTCTTTATATGTTAAATTAAATTTTAGAAATTTACAGATCTGTTTTTATACTAAAGAATAAGTTTAGTTACACTGTCCATGACCTGTAAACGATTTTAAATTCCGGCTCCCTGTTGGAGATCAGGTTGCCAACATTGCCTGCCATTCATTTCAGAGTAAAAGTACGTTCCTTGTACAAATGACACAATGATTGTAATCCCAGAGGTAGTGAGAAGGCAGAGACAAAAATCTTTCATTTTTCCCAAGTCATGAAGACGTAACGTGAAATGGTATAAAGACTTGGTGCAGGCTGCACAGGCGAAATGCAGGGCGCTGTTGCTGAACAACGAGCTCCTCAGTGCCTGAGGAGGAAGCTGAGCATATCGATTTGAAACAGTAAAATGTAGACTCGTGTAAGCTGGAATAACAAAAGTGTTTTCCTACTTCAGCTGACGATTTGTGCTGTATGTCATTGTATGTGCATGAAATACACTGTGCCACACTTTCTTGAGTTATGTTTTGATGGTTGGGTTGCCTTCATCTGACCTTGCTTTGTGCTTTTCTGGGAAATGACCTGTAATACGTTGTAAATAATCTAGATGCTTATGGTTTATAAAGGAGCAATCAGCAATTCATCACTTTACAATTCCTCCATATACCTAGCCTATTGAAATGTAATATTTATTAAAATCAAAATCAATGTTGGAACTGCTTACTGAGATCTAAACACCTCTGAATCTTTGCTATGTTTGAATCTATAAAATGCAAATTAAAGTATTTTCTGCTACAACTTCTTTTTGTGAATGTAATTTTTGGGTTTTCACTTGAAAATTTTTTTACTTCTCATTTCATTTAACTTTCAACTGCACTTAGTAGAAATATATGACTTAAATTATATACATGTCAGTCATTTAAGTTTAAGATGATGAGCAGACTTATATTCTCACTTTAATCCCATTCAAAAGATGAATGTAACCTGTGTATCTGTTGCTGTTTACAGTGCATTGTAGTGTGTCAGCACATCAGAAATTCACGAGGCAGAATTACAGTATGTTTCGGTATGAATGGCCAAATTTCAAATTTTGCCACTGTTTAAGTCCAATTGTTTTAAGAGGTGTAAAAGCTTATTTTGAAATGAAATTTGATCCGTTCTGTCCCTTTCTCAGACTAGCTTATGAAATCAATTTTGTAAATGTTTTCTCTGGTTGGTTTACCCAGTGGGGCTCTTCATGTGAAATTATTCCCCCTAAAGGGTCTCTGCAGCTATTTCACTCCATGTATGTATGTTTAACAAATTGTCTTAGTAAAAATTTGATACCTGTATTTCATCCTCAGTTTAGGTGGGTAAGTACCTGTTATGCAGGTGATGATAATTATAGTGATTTAATTTAAATTTAAGATCTTCCCTTCCACGTTGTTGTTTAAATCTCCTGGGTTTTGAGAGTATTTAATTCATTACCACGATTGGTTACAGTCACTTGTAATTCCACTTTTTGCATCCATACTGTGGTGTAGGGATTAAGCTTGTTTTAAGCGCAGAATTCACATCATTAAATTTTTGCTGTGCAGCTACATCTATTGTGAAGAAAAGGTAATTTCTGCAGACTTTTCTTGCACTAGGTCTTCGGGCAGTTTTGTACAAACACGATTGTAGAATTCCAAAGGGTTTAATAAAATGTCTGTTCTTCTCCTAACCCTGTGGCACCTTTTTTAAGCTCTGGCTGATAGTTTAATTGGCTTTTTTTCTTCAGCGATCATTTGGGAAGAAACTAATGGAAGCTCTGGAGGGCAAACAAGTGGCAGGGTGCTTCTGCCAGAGGCAAGGCTCCTGCTTTGATTTTTACCACAAAGGCCCCAAAAACCAAAGACCCCATGGAAGACTTGAAATATGAGTGTGGCACTACGATGCTTTTGGCTTCTGAGCAGAACTGATCAGATCTACTCCCCATCCCTTCTTTTATTTCTGTATATCCCCTGTGAAATGTATATGAGAATGTTCTACTTGTATTTCCTGAAGCTGAATATGAGGAAAACATCAAGCCTGTCCACCATTTGGGGATGCTGTAGTGCACCTCAAAATGGACTACATTTATAGAAGTAAAGATTACTGTAAGAAATATGTTTTTCTCATAGGGAAATGTGGATTGAATTACAGTATTTGTTTCACGTGGGGAAGAAGAAAGAGATGCTGGGGGCACAGAGCTTTTCACAGCAGAGCATTCCAGTCAGTACTGGGCACACAATAAAAGACCTGAAGTAGAGGTAGGGTTCCTGCTTGCCTCAGTAAGCCTAAAAATAATTGATACTAATCTAAGTGCAAATGTCACATATTAGAATGGTATTTATCCACCATTTCCACCACAAAACACCAAATTTATCCCTGAACATACAAGGCTAAAGCATGGCTTTGCTGACCTTCTACTGGTTATGCAGAATTCATCCTCTAGGTCCATTTGAGGTTTTTTCTGCTTTACATGTTCCTGGCTCTTTTCCTATTCCCAGACTGCACCTCCTGGGTTTTTAATAAATAAGTAAGTACTGTTGTATGTACCCATCTCCCTGACTAGGTATTTCACTTGCTCTTCTACATAATATATCTGGAACTGGTTGACAGAGATGATTGCATAACTTTCAGTTACCTTTAAGTGTGTTAAAGTTACACTTTAAGTGTGTTTTGAG